TCAGTGTCAGCAGACCTGAAACTTTCCAGCAAAGCGATAAAAACTGTCCACTGATGAGATCTGGGGCTTAAACCACGGATCAGATTTTGAAGCCAGAGGTACAATTGAGAGTTAGCTAAAGAACTCTCAGTAGTAACTAATACAGGAGACAAGCTATGTGAAGGCAAAGACTTCTTTGAATTAAGTAGATATGGACATCAGCTGCTTCAACACAAATTCCACAGAGATTCCTTCTCAATCTAGGGTTACACACAGCGTTTAGAGGATGGCTATACTTGGCTCCAAAAGGATTGTCAAAAACTAGATGAGCTGTGTTTGTAAGAAGATAGTATTCATAGGGAGATACTGAGTCTGAGGAAGGAGAGCGTTTGTACATTGCACCCCAAACACACTTGAAATGTCATAAACAATGATGTTTTGAATTCTGTAAACTTAACACAGAGGACAAAAATGTGACCAGAGAAATGTAGCAGTCTTCAGATCATTGAGGCAATTAAAAATCAAATATGATTTTAAAATTTAATTCAGAAGTGATTTAATTAGAAGTCAGAAGGGATTTTTATTTAAAAATGGAAAAGCAATTAGGGAAATGACTCCAGTAAAGAAAACAGGGAACACAAGAGCTAGCAGTGATAGGGGCTCCGATAAGAAGTGAAGAGTCTCAGATCTAAGCCTGGGCTGTGGTACTGAAGGGAAGGGCAGAAAGCAGGCAGCCCAGCTCCCACCCCAAACACATTCTGAAGTCAGTATTTGGGGAGCTAGCGAAGGAGTCTATCACAAATACAGCACCCTAAGTGTTACTGCAAAAGGAAGACTCTGAGGAGAAAATGAAGGGCCATGCAATAAAGAGTATACTAAATATATCCCACAAGGTTAATGTATCAGTTTGTTTCCTATTATTGTAATGACATATCTGAGGATGAGAGGTTTATATAGGGAAAAAAAGGGTTTCTTTACCTTACAGTTTGGAAGGCTAAAAGTACAAATAGCAATGCACTAGCTCTTCTGAGGGCCCATTGGCAAATTGGCATCATGATGGAAGCATGTGGGAGAAATAAATTATGCTGAGAAAGAAAGCCAGAACTCGGGGGGGGGGGGGAGGTGTCAGCCAGATTTATTCTTTCTCAACAGCTCTCTCACCGGAACCAACCAGAATCCTACAAGAACTGCATCCATATCTGCACCAATCCCCTTGGTGACCCAATAATCTTAGTTGGTTCTGCCTGTAAGCGGTCCCATCGTCTCTAACATCACCACACTGCAGCCCCAGCTCCTGAGACATGAACTCTTAGAGACAGCCACAGAACGGAGCATGTTTGTGCGCACCGTATTCTATCAGTGCTTGCTGAGAGGTTGGGGGAAGGAGGTCAGCTTGCACACGAGCTTTGAGGGCATCCAGGCTCTGCCTACCTTGCCTTTCTCTGGTGCTGTTTTTTGCTTTCCCCTTGTGCAGTGCCCTTCCCAACCCCTCCCACACACAGTTTACTGCCTCCTGAGTCCCTTGTCCTACCTTGGTCCAGGGCTAAGTGTCTGACTCAGGAGGACAATGGATTTTTGCCTCTATCTATTGGGAAACTGGAAAAAAGTGCAGTGTGGTGGGAGCAAGTTTCTTTAACTTATGATTTGGAGGCTTTTAAAAGTACAAATTTCTCTGAAGGTTGCTCAGCTGGGAGAAAACCTGTCTAGACCAAGATTATCTTGTTCCCCAGAAGGTATGAACTTGTCTGAGAATCCAGCCCACTGAGGAAGAAGATTACTTAAGAAAAAAAAAAAGTCAGCTTGTAGCCTATCTTTTTTCAGCATGATTCTTCAGATATTAAGCCTATTACTTTTTGCTCAAGATGGTAGTCTGAGCTGACTTCCTGTAGCTGACCTATGCTGAGCTGTGCTTTTAAGCTCAATAGAGCTGGTTGCATTACTGCACCTTGAATAAAGCACCTTGCTAGAAACAAAGCACAAAGTCAAACAAGAGCCCCTCCATCTGGGAGCGGCTTCATCTCCCATTGGAACATACCGTTAAGCCAGGAATCACAGTAGCTTGCCACAATTCCTTCAGTGACTATTTGTATACCACATTAAGTCTGTGCCTAAACTACACTTTGGGTTTAAAGGTGTCAAGCTTCACTGAAGAAGTAATATTTGTGGAAAGGACTATTTATTCTTTTCTTTTTAAAAAAAAAAATCTCCTGAGGCATGCTACTCTTAATATTGTGCAAATGTAATCCCCATAAATCTAAAAGAAGTCATTTAAATGTAATGTTTTCCTAATGTAATTATGTTGTTTTTATCAGTCAGGGTAGTTGGGCATGGTGATGTACACCTTTAGTCCTAGCACTTGGGAGGAAGAGGCAGGCAGATCTCTGCAAGTTCCAGGTCAGTTTGACTCAAGACAGCTAGGGCTACACAGAGAAACCTTGTCTCAATAAAACAAACAACAACAAGAAAAGCAAATAAATAAATCATGGTATATATTAATTATACATAATGGGTTTATGACATTCACGAGCATGTGAGAGCTCTTTTTTTTTTTTTTTTTTACAAACTTCCCTTGTCCCTTCCTATTCCCTCAGATTCTGATGAGGGGAATATTTCTAAAGTAGGGAAAAGGATAAAATACTCATATAATTAGGACAGAATGACAAGAATTTGGAAAAATCTCAAAGAGGACAGAGAAGACTGAGCCTGTGTGGTAGTAAAGGATGGAGAGGGAAGGGGAGACCCAGAGGTCCTGTTGGTCTGGAACCTTCAGTCTACCTTGACAGGACCCATCTTTCTCTCAGGTTCCCACCTCTTCCTGTGCCCCATGGTGGAACATTTGTCCCTCTGCCACTACTCTGAAGCGTAGGCAGCGTTGCTCATGTGTGCCCATCCTGTTTAGAGCATGGGTACAAGTTAGTGAGCATACAGTGAAGCTGGGTGTTTGCAGTCTACATGTAACAGACTGGCAGAAAGAAATTCATGGCAAACTGAAGGGAAACATGCTGAAATTGAATGAAATGACTAGTGGGACATTTGTCCCAACCTGTAGACCCTTCGTGAAGCTTCTAGTAGCTGGTCTCCTTAGTCTGGCTTTGGGGCTCCCTGATGGCTGTGGGTAGGGACTGATTCCCAGTCAGGGCCTTGACTGTTGAGAAGCGGTTGTCAAATCTCTTTGGAAACTTCTGGTGTCCTCATTCCAGCAAACAGCATGCTTTCCCTTCCTGTCCCTCCTTTTTCCTGCATGCCCTGAACACTGTCAGTACCTGCAGACAGAGGCTGCCACTTCCTCCCAGGTCTAGGCGGGTGCGACACTCTCACCACTGGTCTCCATTACTTTCTCTTTTACGCAGGGGGTCAGAGAAAGCTAATGACGTTCACAATATCCCTAGTGTTGGCCACTGGGACGTAAAGTCCCAGAAACCTGATAGAATCTGGGACAACTGATTGTCTAAAATTATCCTGTAGTTGATAAATTCCCTCCTGTTCCTTACAAAGTGGGGTAGCTAGTTATCTATGCCTTCTAATGCCATTTAAAACAAACCTCTTGTTCACAAAGCACACTGCCCCACCCCCAAGTTTCACAAAGCTCTCTTTTCTTACAAAATATACCTGCTAATAAACTCTTTAAGAGTCTCATGTGTCTGCTTCAAAACAAACACAAGACACTATAAAGAGCTTATCCGGCCCTCCAGTAACTCAGCCCATCTTTCTCCTGCATCTCCATAAGCATCCCTGTGTACACATGGCTAGTCTCACTTCAGCCCTACTCATCTTCCACTGAGGTGAAGCTTGGAAGGCAGCAGCACACAGCACATATTTGTATCCTCCCTGGGACATGTGCTTGTCAGAGCATTTTCAGCTCTGCCTCCTTCCCGTTTCTTGGTGCCTGTGGCCTCACCTTGCAACTCAGTGTGTCCTTTCTGCTGTCGTCTTAATCTTTGCACATATATCAAACACCCCAGAATACTCTTCTCTTGCTTGCCCATCCCTTCTTATGGTGGTTCTGCCCATAACCCTGACCATCTCAGATGCCGGCTTGTGCCAAGTGTCTCCCGATCCCTATGGTGTTCTGTAACACAGATATTTGGTTTGTCTTTAATCATCAGGTAAGTCAGGAGAAACTTCAAGTGTTTTTACCAAACTGAAATCTGATGGCTTCTGCCACAATGTTTGTTTCCCTTTGAGCCACGAGAGGGGACAGCTTGTCTGTTATACGCTTAGCCAGCCAGCCAGTCTTTCCCCCCAGTTACTCTGTAAGTGCTTCCCACTTTCCCACTACAGTGTGTTTTTCAGTGCTTATATATTGCTTAGTTTGGGGGGTTCTCACAGTAAACTTGAGAAAATTGATTCGTAAAATTTGTTGTGGGATAGAGGCAGATACATTCAGATAACAGATTAAAATGTGAGGTGCTAGTCCTTTCATCGTCCTGTAAGAGTTACGATTGACTCTGATACAAAAGTACATCTGTAGGAGCAGAGAAAGCAGTACTGTGTGGAGGGGTGGGGAGAGGAGGGGGTTTGTCTAGTAAGGAGGTTTACCATTAAATGCTTCACTGCTGCTTGCACTGTGCTGGTTAGCCAGCGTGCGTAGGTGGCTAGTTGACTCCTACAAGGAACTGCTTGTCAGATACAGAGTGGGAGGAGGGCGTGTGCTTGCTCGGGGCTTGTACCCGTTCAGGTAAGCAGTAACTGCATGTTGGCAGGGCATGCTTACTGAAGTAACTCCAAGTCCCTGAGGGTAGATAGGATGTGGTAGCCCCATTGCTGGCATCGCCCCAGCTCTCTCAGCATGTTAGCCTCACTGTCAGCACATAGCACTGGAAGTTTTATGCTTCAACTGAGCAGAGTTCAGAAGTCTTGCTGTTGCTTCTCATGAAGTGCCAAGATTAAAGTCCTGCCTGCCTCGATTAGAAATGCAAGACAGGGATGTTGACAACAGCTGCTCTGACAGTGTTAAGACTTGGGGTGTGCTTCTAAGGAGGCAGTGGTAAAGCTTCGGGTTTCCTTTCAGGTGACCTACAATGGACTGGCTCATGAAGGAGAAACAAGAACACACCAGTCCACGCTGGATAAGAATGACACCACCTTCCAGCTTCTGCTGTCTTCTGCTCGGAGCGCTAGGCATCTTTGCACTCGGCCACTTCACAAAAGGTCAGAACAACACACTGCTTTTCACTAAGGAAAATACCATTCAGAACTGCAGCTGCCCCATAGACATTAGGGACTGTGACTACAGTTTGGCCAACCTGATGTGCAGCTGTAAATCTGTCCTGCCTTTTGCCATGGAGCATACCAGCTATCATGGCCATCTGACCATCTGGTTCACAGACATAGCCACATTGGGCCACCTGCTGAAGTTCACTCTGGTCCAAGACTTGAAGCTTTCCCTATGTGGTTCCAACATCTTCCCCACCAAGTACCTGGTTATCTGTGGGCTGAAGAGGCTTTGCATCAACACGGAGGCCAAGCATTCCTCGCCAGAGCAGAGTTTGCTTATTCACAACCGAAGGGAAGGCAGCGCCTTGTACAAAGGCTGGCAAACGCGTGTGTTCATCTCACTCTTAGATGTGGCTCTTTTCAACAGGGACTCATCTTTAAAGTCATACAGTATTGATAACATTTCTAGCCTCACCAGTGACTTTCCTGATTTTTCTTACTTTAAAACATTTCCAATGCCAAACAGCAGCAGCTATGTTGTCACAGTTATTTACTAGCACCCTGTGTCCATCCACCAGCTACTCTTTAAAAAACAATAGAGTATTTGAACAGGAATATGGGAATAAGGTCCTAAGACAGTTGTTTGTGTTCCTTCCCCTAGCCTCCATTTACCACAAAGATCCAGAGTGGCAGGTCTTACAACAAAGCCACACCTCTGAGCAGCCAGTTCTTTCTGTTCCACTTAAGAGCAATCTGACTCCTGAACTATGTCCCAAGGGCCAGCTAGAAGCTAGGTCTTTGTGACTGGTAGCCCGTGAAGAGCTGTCCGGTTAGAGGGGGAGAGAGCAGTGCAAACCAGAGACGACTGTTTATTGGAGCTCAGGATAGTCATGGCCCCAAGGAAGGGATCTTCTTTTGGAATGCAGTCATTCTTCCTTATCGGTGTGCACGAATTCCAAGACCCTGAGGACACCTGAATGACCAAACAAGACCAAACCCTATGCGTACTGTATTTTTCCTATAGAGACTTTTGGTAAAATCTAATTTATCAATTAAGGTCACTGTGGGATTAAGAAAAACTGTAACATAATGTAAGAAAGTTGTGCAAACACGTTTGCTTACACTATTACACTGTGCTCGCTCTTCCCATGACGATGGCTCTCTTTGGCATAGAAACATTTTCAGCATTGCTACTTTTCGCATGATGGCTATGGAATAAAACACAGGTTTCTTGGATCATAACGTGGCAATCACAGTGGTCAGTCTGATAACAGAGAACAGTCACTGGGGGCAGATGGCTGGTAGTGTATTTGGTGTTTATAGGACCAGCAAGCAGATGATTCTGTCCCAGGTAGAATCAGGCAGAACCACATTCTTCATACTCTTCAGAACAACTTGACGCTTAAAACTTCTAATTTATAAATGAAACTGCACAGCAGGGACCATGGTGCCCCCTTTCTTTCTTTTCTTTTTCATTTTGTGATGTAAGTCTAGAATTCTGATTCAAAAATGACAGATTTCAGAAGTTTGGGGACCTAAATTCCTCTAAACAACAGGTTTGCCCAGACTGGTATTTTCCAGATAGTTGTGGAGAACAAATGCATTGAGAAGCTGGAAACTGAAAGTGTGTTTATGCGCTTGGGAAGGCGGTGCGGGGGCCTTAACACTACCTGAAGGACCAGGGTTCTGAGAGAGGGGTGCATGGTCTGAGAGAGAGGTACATGAGTGAAAACACACGCCCATGCATTTAACCTCAAATTTATGCACAAAGCACTGCTCTGTGGGGAAGTTCTTTTCTGGTCCTTCTTCACTTTCACAGAGAAGCCAGCAAGGCTCTTTGGACCTTCCCTTTCATCTCCTCTGCATCTGCTCAGCATCTTTGTGCCCTCCATCCCCGACTCCTGTGTCTTATCATTTGCCCTCCCATTCCTTTCCCTCTTGCCCCTGAATTCAGAACTTAGATTACTGTCAGTAGAATTGTTAAGCCACACGAGGGCTAACTGGGGAATCTAACAATCACTTTGAACTTGGTGCTCAAATTACAAAGAATTCATTTTAAGATGAAATTCTGGTCCTTATCTCATCTGGAATTTTAAGATGAGAAAGTTAAGATACTTTATAGGAGGTAGTTAACACAAAATTGTATTACACGCATTGTTAAAAGGAACCAAAGCAATTATTTGAAAAACAACTTATTAAATTGCTCACTGTTACATAAAGAAAAGCTGCCCCATGATAAAGACCAAATTTACCATTAATGAGCAATATTTTGTAAAACCCATGTGAGGAGGAGGGAGAGACGGCTCAAAGCTCACGAGCACTTGCTGTTCCTCCAGAGCCAGGGGCTCCTTGTCCAGTGCCCGCATCAGTTTGCCCATAGCCATCTGTAGTTCCACCTCGGACCCAAGCCTGCTCTTTTCTGGCCTTCACGGAAACTTGTACATGTGTGGCATACACACCATACACATGAATAAAACCCAAAACTAAAATGTAAACCCATGCTAGCTGTGATACAGATGTCTAAACTTAGAATAAAATGAAGCTGAAACACTATTGATTCACAATACCACAATGGTAAGAAATAATTTTATTGTAAAATCACAGGTTAGTCATGTCATATTTTTATCTTAACTTTAACATACTGCATTTGCATAACTGGCAGGGAATTTGGTCATTTTGACTAATTAACTCGTGTCCACAGTGTGAGCATTTAAATTAGGCCAAAATGAAGTCCAAACCATGAATTTTAATGGAAAACATAATGGCCTCATTACTGAGAAGAGGTTAAAGTGAGAAAAAGACAAGGAGTTGGGAAAGAGAAAGCAAGAAAGATGTAAGTCAAAAGACAAATTGTACGCATTAACTATCATTCTGCATATACTGCAAACTAAATTTTGATGGAAACCTGTTAATGTTTTTAAAGAGTGATGTTAGAAACTCTATGTTCCTATAAGTACCTTCCATCTGGTATATAAGTACCTTCCATCTGGTATAT